ACATAAAGGACATGAAAGATCTACAATATCCGAAACCCCTCTTTTAGCCAGTTCAGTCCTCATTGGTAGTTTTTGAAGGACCACCTGCCACATAAAAGTCTCAATCTTGGGTGGCACCAATTCTTTCCACAAAATTTTCTTCCAAAAAGAGTTCGCCCGAGAAACCGAGGAACAAATCTTCACACATGAATTAACAGAATAAAACCCATCCCCTTTCCCTTTCCAGATCATAGCATCGCTGGCATCTTTAGACAAGCAAAAATTAGAAATGATTGTCATCAGATTAGTCCACTGTTCAAATTCCCAATCAGCCAAATTCCTCCTCAATCGAATATTCCAAATCCAACCTAAAGAACTAAACTCGCCGAAATCAATCAATTTACCACTCTGATTTGAAGAGATAGCAAACAGCCTTGGGAAAGAGACCTTAAGAGGGAAGTCCATTGCCCATTTGTCCTGCCAAAAACGAATAAACTGACCACAACCAACTTGAATTCTGCACATACTTCGAAATTTTGAGCCAAATGAGTCTTCTTTAAAATGAGAATTAACCACTGAACTCCAAATCCAAGAAGATTGAGTTGATATCTTGCTATTGAACAGTAAAGAGTAGGGATCCAGATTGTATTTTGAACATATCAACCTCCTCCAAACAACATTCCTTTCATTAGCAAACCTCCAAGACCATTTCCCCAGTAGAGCTCTGTTCATATTAATAATATTCAACACTCCCAAACCTCCCTCCTCCTTAGATTTGCACACATTAGGCCAGCTGACCCAATGAATCTTGTTTTTATCCGTTCCACCTCCCCATAGGAATTTAGACATTAAAATTGAGTTTGGAATTAACCGAGGAAGGAATTTTAAACAGAGAAATAGTAGGTTGGAAGGAACAGAGAACCAATTTAATCAAGACTAACCTCCCTGCCAATGAAAGAGTGTTCGATTTCCAACCTGCAAGCTTCTTGTTAAATTGTAAAACCACCGATCCCAAAGAGGAAGAATTCCTAGATGCACCGAGAGGCAAACCTAGATATTCAGAGGGAAAATTCCCAACGCACAACCAATAGACGAGGCCCACTCCTCAACCTCCTCCGCAACCGTATTAACACCAAATAATATGCTTTTCTTCAAATTCAATTGAAGGCCAGAAATGAGTTCAAACACTCTTAGGACCCTCTTAACATTTAAAATCTGATTCTTCGAAGTTCCACATAAATAATTAAGTTTGAAGATGAGATAAATTAAAAACCGTCTCATTTCTTCCAAATTGCAGTCCAGAAAACAGTCCCTCAGATACTGCTTTTAAAAGCAGTAAGTTTAGAAGTTCCCCAACCAAGTTGAAAAGCATAGGAGATAGAGAACAGTCCTGACGGAGACCCCTTGCCATAGGGAATTCCTGAGAAGGGACCCCATTAATCAAAACTGAAATTGAGGCTGTTCTTACACATTGTTTGATCCAACTCCTCCATTTGTAGCCAAATCCCATTTTCTCCATAACCGTAAAAAGAATGGACCAATCCACAGTATCATAGGCCTTTCTGAAGTCCACTTTAACACACATCCTTTAAGCCTGCTTCTCCAAAAGTCAACTCCCTCATTAGCTATAAGAGAGCATCCAGTATTTGACGACCTGGAATAAATGCAAACTGCGTTGGGCTGATCAAACCAGTAATACAATTCCTTAATCTCCTTGAAAGACATTTTGAAAGGATCTTGTACAACCCTCCTACAAGGCTTATGGGTCTAAAATCATCTAATCCACCAAATATTAGACACCTTGGGAATAAGAGTAATGAAAGTATGATTGACTCCCTGTTCCCAATCTTTCCCCATATAGAAATTATGAAAAAATTTCAGAATATCTACCTTTAGAATAGACCAAAATCTCTTGAAAAAGCCCATATTTAATCCATTCTTTCAAAGGTGCTTAGATGTATACCTACATCACATGCCATTGTTTGATTCTTTTTTCTTTGCCCAAAAAATGTTCTCTAACAGGTAAGGTTGACATTCGGTTAAGCATAGATATCCCCAACGACACTGAACTTGTGGAACCTTTGCATGAAAGTTGCATATGGTGCCAAGCAAGAGGGGCTGCTACTGAGTTATCGGTGGTGGAGAGTGTGGCAGGATCCTCGGAGAAGGTTTTCACCTTTCATTCCTGTGATTCCCTTTGGTTAGTTGTGTGATAAGGAGCTTAATTCAGTTATTGGGTTTATACAGGTAGGTGTTGCACAACAATGGTATGATGAACTGGACAATCTTGCCTTGCCTTTGAATCAGAACTGGTAATCGAAGATGACAATGCTACTATGGATACAAGTTCTCAAGATGAGAGAATTCACATTGATTGTATAGTTAATACAAGCCCTGGAACAAGTGAGGTATTTTTTCTCTCCATCTCTCACTCTCTCCCCTCAGTGACTGGTGCCACATGTACCAACTTTTATGTTCTTCAGCCTAGGTACAAAGGACTGATTTCAGTTTTTAACTTTCACCATACAGGTTATAATTTATGCAGCACTATATCTAAAACTTAGAAGAATTCATGTTGTAGAAGATGACAACAATCTGAAAAATTTGCAGCCAGGACAGCAAATATTTTGAACCTCAAGGGAAATGAAAGGTTTGACAGCGATTCTTGCACCGAGTTCCTGTTAAAATCTAACAGAGATTTGAGAGACCTCATTTTCATAAAACCATTGCACGTTAGAATAAAGTTCAATTGTCATAATCACCCAAAAGCTGAAAACTCGAAAGACATCTTAACCGACTCCTCCATTAAAGTTGACGTGTCCTTGAACTGAAGGCAAGATTGTTGTTGCTGCCATATTTTTATAATTCAAACCTGCTGTATTGATGTTTATAATGCAACCCTGCTGTATTGATGTACCATATCTCTCGTTACTGTGTTTTGGCTATAAAACAGAAAGTCCATTGGGATGCTTATGCTACCCCATTCTGCCCATTGGGATGTTCGTCCTGTCACGCTGGTCTTCACTTCCACAATTCTCCAATTGCTCCGGTGTCGTCGAATGTTTCCTCCACTTTTAACTTTGCATACAGGATCGTAACTTCGGGTTCCATGATTTTTTTAAGTCCTCATTGTCTGCCTTCCTGAACATAACTTAACTGATCTGGTTGACGGATTCGATGACGATAAACTTCGGCACTTTCTATTTAATATAGCCAGCTTTGTTTTGGAATGGACCAAGAAAAAAAAGAATATGTCAAGTGATTTTGAGCCAAGGCATTGATGAGTGATTAAAGCAATAATGAGAAAAATAAAACCCTAGCAACTATATATATAGGGGTCCGGTAATCGGGTACCCGATTTTTTTTTCATTTTTAAATTATTAATTTAAAAAATATATACAAATTTAAATGTTCGAAATTTCAAATTACATATTCCAACAACCGAACATAAAATTTAAAAGTTCGAAATACAAAATCTAATAATTCATAATATAAATAATTCATTATATATATATATATATGTGTGTAATAATTATAACTAACCGGGTACTCGGGTAACCGATTACCCGAAAAAACACAATTTTGTGACCCGGGCTCGACCCGGGAAATGTCGGGCCGGATACTCGACCTAGCCAGGTAATTTTTTTAGAAAATTATCTGGTTTTTTAATGTTCGGATCAACGGGTCAGGTTAACCGGGTCGAGTATTTTTGCACACCCCTATATATATATATATATATAAGGTCAGGAATCAGGATTGACTAATATAATGTAAAATTCTTTAGTTATATATATATATATATATATATATATAAACTAATTATCTAAATTTTTTACATGACTCAGAGAATAGGTCTGTCTAAACAAAATTTTTAATCTAATTAAATATTTCATTTCACGACCAACTTTAAAAAAATGAATAATAAATGAAATCAAAAAACAAATAATTCTCATCAATTATTTATAGAATCATTTCCTCGTAAAATCTGATCTAAAAATTTAATTTTAAAAAATAATTATCATATTTGAATTAAAAAAAAGTAAATAAGAGTTTAGATTTAGAAGTTGATTAAGCATAAAAAATGTTTTAATACTTTACTACAATGACGGAATTTTAAGCTGTAATACTCTCTTTTTTTATACCTACAATTCTTTCATATCTCTAAAATTTTTACTGATAATATTGGTTCAAAGATTCTCAATAAGTTGATATTGAATTATCGTACATCTCTGCATACGTAATACTTGAATTTTGGATCTAAAGGAATAATAATAATTCTTTAACCACATTGGTTCGTGCTGAAATTTTAACTGTTTAATAGGAAGGAAAATTGTTTTTTTTTTCCTGAAAAATCAATGGATTTCTGGAATAATTTGGGTGATGGGTTCTGCAGCATTGTCTTATTAGTTACAAAACCTAATGTTTATAAATGGAATATCCTGAAACGAAATGCATGGCAATGCCAGACACTCATTTATCTCTTCTTCAAGGCTTGAAGGTTTATAATCACATCACATGTTCGATAAATTGTCCACCAAAAAAAGAAAAAGATCCCACATTTGTCTACATTTCCACGGAATTTTTCTCCCTTTATAAACCTCTTCTTGTCCGTTTCTTTCTATCCAACAATGTAACTGTACTAAGAATGTTTCGCTTGCTTTTTGTTCCAAATCTAAGGTCACTATTTCTTTCAATCACCTTACTGTTCCATGAAGCCTTTTTATTTTTCTTGTAACTTGTTCTGTGATTTCCTAATGGAACCTTGTATGGTTAATATGTTACTACTAGTTAGATTTTTTTCATCTTCTAATCTGTAATTAGGAAAGTTTAGTTTTTTTTTTTCTTTTTATTTTGGTAGGAGCTAACATAGGGTGATATGTTGTAACATTAATCCAAATTGTTATAGAAGATATCTTAGAAGCATTTGTGATTAAATAGCAGCACTTTGGGGTTTTCTCACCAAGTTCTGGATAATCAAGTTTTAAGCAAAGGAGTTTATTTGATTCAGAATCCAAAGAAAAATGGGTTGTCTTTCATGTTTTACTTCCTCGGAAAAGAAGGCAGCTCAAAGGCAAACTAGTTCTTGCAGAAATGGTGGTCATTCTTGTGATAAAATTCCTCCTCAAATTGAAGTTTTTCTTCCCCAGCAACACCCCCCTGGTAATGTCACGTTCAGCCATTTTTCCTTTGCAAATGCATGCGGTTCTGAATGTATCATCTTTCTTTTCAAACAGAGCACGTTCCTAAACCAGAGACTTCAGTTGAGCCTGCAAAGACTACTGCTGATGGCACTAGAGAGACCGGTAACAACAACATCGCAGCTGAAACGTTCACCTTCCATCTATTGGCGACGGCAACCCAGAACTTTAGACAAGAATGTTTGATAGGGGAAGGCGGCTTCGGTCGAGTTTACAAGGGAAAGCTTGATAGAACTGGCCAGGTATTGCATAGTTCTTCCATGGCTTGCATTGAAGTTCTTTTTTTATTCTTTCAGTCACATACTTTGGGTTCACTTGCATTGTAGACTGTAGCCGTAAAGCAGCTTGACAGAAATGGATTGCAAGGAAACAGGGAATTTCTTGTTGAGGTTTTGATGCTAAGCTCGTTGCACCATCCGAACCTCGTTAATCTTATCGGATATTGCTCCGACGGCGATCAAAGGCTTTTGGTTTATGAGTACATGCGGATCTGTCGAGGACCATCTACTTGGTATATGTAATCACCATTTTTATCTCTCCATTCTAGCAGTCCCTCCACGTTGCACATTCCAGCACCTTCCAGCAGCTCCAGAAGCCAGCTGCCCCCTCCACGTTTCAGCAACTCTCCAACAACGACAACCGTCCAGCACCTCACCAGCTGTCTCTCCTCGTTATAGCTCAGCCGCCACACCCACGACCACCAATGCTCCACGTCCTGAATCACTTCATCATAACAAAACAAAGGATAATATTTTATTTCTTTTCACATGTAAATTGGGGCTATAAAAACCCAGAACAATTCAAAAAAAAAAAGGGAGGAGGAGCAAATACACAACAAATTGAAAAGGAAAAAGCATTACAAAGGTTATTTTTACATTTGATTCATTTTTTCAGCATTATATTTTATTTATTTATTTATTTTTGAAAAAAAAAACAAAGTAAGTTAATTAAATAAAAAAAATAGAAAAGAGAAGAGTTGAAAGCTTTGGGTGTTCTGCCGTGTGAAAAATGAGAGGAAGAAGATGAGTTTTAAGTTTATAAAATGTTTGGGTAAACCACACGTCAGGTCCCTAGGTTTTAAGAGTTCATTACTTTATTCACTTAAAATAGGGAAAATGCGAAATAATCCCTGTAATTTAGGAGGCTATTTATAATTTAGTCCTTGCTATGCTTTTATATATTTTTTAGGTAAATGATAGATTTAGTCTTTTAATTTTAATAATTAATATTTTAATCCAAAAAGCATGTTTTAACTTGTTTTAATTTAATTTTTGAATTTAAAATAGTTTTAATTTAGTCACCAAATTAATAAATATGTAAAACAACATAATCAAACACTAAAATTTTAATAAATTAATTACGAATTAGATATTTATTTTTAATACATTTTAATTTAGTCATTAACTTTAAAATTATTAGCTTTTATTATATAGTTTTAATCTCATTTATTTTAGTAGTTGATTTAATTTTATATGTTTATTTGCAATATATTATTATTATTATTATTATAAACATATACATATAATATATTTATTTATTTATTATTTTATAATAATAAATTCTAATAATATTAAAGAAAAGGAATGTCTTAAAGCATTTAGAAGTCCGTTTTCTGATATTTTTTATCATATAAAATATATATTAATTTTTAAGAAACATTTTAATATTTATTTATTTATTAATATAGAAGAAAAGAGCTGTCTTAAAGCACCTAGAAGTCCTTTTCTAATATTCTTAATAAATAAATCCTATTTTTATATATATTATTTTATTTTAATTATTTTTATAGAAATATTTTTATTAATATTTATTTACTTTTAAAATCGAAGAAAATAGCTGTCTTAAAGCACCTAGAAGTCCCTTTCTGATATTTCTAAGTAAATAAATATCTTATTTATATATATATATATATATATATATATATATATATATTTTCTTAAAATAAATTTGAAATAACATGATTAATAATTAAATATATTTTTGAATTTTTAAATTTCCAATAATAGAGACAAATTATAATTAATGAAGTACCAATTTTGGGCGTTGTGGAGGTGCTAATCTTTCCCCAAGCGTAATCGACCACGAATCCCTTTTTTATTATAAAAAATAACGAATTTTTGGTTTATACGCAGATCAATTTAAATTATGTTTTCTTAAAAACTATTTTAAAAGATTATTTTTAGGTATTTGACCTACCTAACCCAAAAAGGTCAATGGCGACTCCAAAATATTTCTAAAACACCATTTTTTATCCATATTACTTTTTCCAACCAAGTAAAATTTGTACCCGGGCAAAAACCGGTCACGACAGCTTGGCGACTCCGCTGGGGAGCTGGTCAAACTTTAAAATCAATTATAAATTGTCTCTATTAATTAAAAATTAAAAATTCATATATTTAATTTTTAATTCTTTCTTTTCAAAATTTTTATATATATTATTTTCATAATATTTATATGTATATTATTTTATTAATGTTTCATTTTATTTTTCAAGTATTTTATTTCATTATTTATCTGTCAGAGGTTTGAACATTTATCCTCACACACAACACATGCATTGCATAAATATAATCTCTATAACTGAGATTTGTCCCTTTTAAGTGGAAGTGAAAGCGACGTCTTTGTGAGAATTTATTCTCTGTGTCAGACCTATCAAGTAGCTTTCGGGGTTCATATGCTCTATGTCTTCGTGAGAATTTATTCTCCGTGTCAGACATAAAGAAATGTGTCCCCTCGAATTGAACTCGGTCTGCTTAAGTCTGTAGTGGACTAGGATTGAGGGTTGGCAGCCTAAGGGGGCATCAACAAGGACAATTCGAGTACCTTTACTCCTAGAACTGAAACTCTGCATATAATAAACCCTAGAAATTCACCTGATCTAAGACAATACTGAACCTCTGTTCATAGGTATACACAAAGGAGAAATAAGTTCTAACTTTTGTCTTTTGATTTATTTAATTTTTTCCTTTTTCTGAATAAATGCCTGCGAACTAGAAATCAAATTTGTTTATATTGTTTTCTTTTGTTTGCATTGCATGATCATGGCATAACCAAAAGGTGTTAACTGGAAAGACTGTTCATCAAATTGGAAAGAAATCATAAATGGACAAAAAGTTTTATGATCGAACAAAATATGACGCAACCGTGGAATGGCATCATGAGGGAACTCCGAGGATAGAGGAGAGCTAGGCACCCAAAGATTGTATGCCCATTAAAGAGCAAAAGGAGATACGAGAAATAAGAGAACAGACGTCCAAGATGATGGAAAGAATATCTGTTTTGACCAAAGGAAAAGAGATTCCGGCACAGATAGAGACAGTCGTCATTCGTATTCACAAGTTATCTGGAGATACCCAGGAAATGGTGACAACTGTAAAAAAAAACTCCCAGAGATGAGAAGAAATCATGTAATCTGAAGTTGTCAAAGTTTAGTCTGCTCCCGACGTCTAAAACTCAGGTTCAATCCAAACAAAAGGCGGTTCTTATTTTGATGCTATCCCTATCATATAAGGAGTTATATGAAAGCTACTTGAAGCGCAAAAGTGGCCCCGTACTACATAAAACCATTCCAATCTCTGTATCCGATTGGTATGACATTACTTTTATTGTGAATATCATGCTGGAGCTCAAGGACATACCATCAAAAATTGTCTTGCCTTCAAACGTCGAGTACAAAGTCTTCTGGATCATGGAACCTTACAATTTGTGATAATTAATTGACCTAGATTGGTAATTGAAGGTTCTGCTAGATTAATACCAAAAGTCTTCAAAGGTAAGAATATCAGTAAGGGCACCCAGAAAGAAGAAAATTTGCTGAGGTCTGAGCCTCAATACCATCTAAAGAAGGGCACCCAGAAAGAAGAAAATTTGCTGAGGTCTGAGCCTCAAATACGTCATCTAAAGATTACAAACGATAAATTGAGCACCAAAATGGAAACCATGCATGAAGATTTCCAAAAGGTCAGTCAAGCCTTTCAAAATACTGGTCTAGGAAACACCCCAGAAGATGGATAACAAGGGTCACCAAACTGAAAAGAACTGTAACATACATGAAGGACGAGCCAAGAATGTTTCTCATGATTTACGAGTTGCAGAAAAAAAGACACATACATCTGTCAGTGAATTAAAAAGATGTCAAGTCGAAATCAAAGGTTAAATATGGCTATGACCAACATGGAAGCATCATATCAGATCCATCAGCTTGAGATCGATACTGAATTAGAAGTCACTAAGACCAGAAACAAGACGTTGGAGAAATGTTCAGATGAGTATAAAGATCTTGTACAAGAACTTCTTGGATACAAAGGGTCTCTTACAAAACGAGCAGCGCTTAGAATTGACACAGAATATGAAGGAAAAAGACAATGTCATGAAGGAAGTTGCTGCTCAAGCAAGCAATGTGGCTTATAAGCTGGTGAACTTAGTTGGCTTCGCTATAGAATTAAAGCAGATGGATAACTCCACACCTGAACATGAGTGGAAGTTAATTTGGCTTTTAAGAGAAATAGAGAAATTAGGAGTAAAAGCCATCCCCTATATGTAAAGGTTTTGTTTGATGCACGGAAACTTTTGTGTTCAATGAAATCTGTTCTAAGATGATCACTCTTGAGTAACACCTTTTCATACATGCATTTGCATTTCACATCTTTGCATTTTCGTTTTGTATTTATACTTTTATATTTGCTTTTGAATTGCACAAGTTGCATTCTTATTGTTACATTCACATATTCACATTTGTATCCTTGTATTTTTACGTTTGTATTTACAATTTCATTTTTACATTTGCATCTTGGCATAATTACATTTTGTTTCAAATTATTCTACAATATGGGAATAATTCGTGGAGGATTACATGACATAATTTTTGAAATCAAAGTGGAGCTAACTTGGTCTTCCTAAAAAAATAAGATCCATGAATGAGATCTTAGCAAGGGTCAGTAGAATCGAGAAACTGCAAGAGCAACTTGTTAAGACTCAACAAGAAATGACTAATCACGCAAAAAAGATCCAAGCTGATTCAAAAGAACAAATGACCACGTTAATGGATATGATGAATGATATGATCCATGGAGAGAAACCCTTAGAGGATTCCGCAGTGAAGGCTATGAATGAGGATCTGAATGATAATGATGAGTTCGACGTGATATTGTCTGATGATTACGAACCTATTAGCGAGTATGGTAATTCAGGACAGCTTCAAGATTTGGTCCCGAAGGGTATGGATGAATTTATAGTGAATGAAGAATCAATGAATGGAAAAAGTTCACTTGTGAGAGATAAGTTTTACCCAAAGAAAAAGAACATAGAAAAGGGTCAAAGGCTAGTCAAGAAGAAAAAGAATGTGCAGAGTTTTCAATTTCCTCCTTTCCACTTTTCAGGTGAAAAATCATATTAAAAAATGCTCTCAGCCAGCTTAACTACTCCACGACTTGTTCAGTCACAATGGCCTCCAAATGAGAATTGGACCTATAAGGATGTTCCTTGGATAAATCAGACTGGAATTCCAAGTTGTTCAACTAAG